TATGTGTATGTATATATATAAATTGCTCTTATGCATGGCTATATAAATATATGTGGTATATATAATATAGAAATCTAATTATTAAAGTGTTTGACGAAAATGTAAAATAACAAAAAATAGTAAAACTAAAATAGGCTTGCATAATAAATTAATAACAAAGTACAACATGAAGCATAAATACGTCTAATAATTTTAAAATAACACAAATTGTTGAAAAATCTTAAAGACGAATTTGCGGATAAATACCCTCAACACAATACTTTATATGCCTCCTTAAAATGCCTGTGGTACACCCTGAACGAAAATTTAAGACTCTTCCACAGTTCTTGCACTTTAATATTTGGCCTTCTTCATTTTCTTCAAGCACTTCATAGTATTGCGAAACAAATAAGCGCACTCTTTCCGAACGAGGCATGATTTAACTTGAAAATTGAGATTGAGACTTGAAGTCTTGAAAATTGGAGATTGAGAGATTGAGAGAAATTTAGATTGAGAAATGAGTATTGAGTATTGAAATGAAGAAGAGGGAGGGGGGTACTTATAGTGTTAGAGAAGGTTAGTTTTGTAAATTGAAAAAAAAAACGGCTATTTGTGCAATTAATATGACCGTTGGTGGTCATTGGGGGTGGGGCCCTCATTTTGAAAAATCTTGTTTTGTAGTATATATAGTACTACTTCTTTATGTAAATATAATATATATAGTATACTAGTATAGTATACTATATATAGTATGTTATGTATATATATTCCCTTATATATTTTCTTGTAGTATATATTGTATGTTATGTATATATATTCCATTATATAATTTGTTGTAGTATAAATTGTATGTTATGTATATATATTCCCTTATATATTTTCTTGTAGTATATATTGTATGTTATGTATATATATTCCCTTATATATTTTCTTGTAGTATATATTGTATGTTATGTATATATATTCCATTATATAATTTGTTGTAGTATATATTGTATGTTATGTATATATATTATAGCTTATAAATAATTGCAAGTTAAAGACAAAAAAATATTGCAAAGAGATATTCAAGGCCAAGGGTATGTTTTATAATTTTTATTACCAAAAATGGCATATCTTTCTTAGTCTTCTTCCCCCCAATGGAATGAGCACAACAAGGTACTAATACCACCATTAAAAGGAAAAAAAACTAAAGAAGATATGCCAAAGTACAAGTTACACCATAATCTACATTGTATCTCTAACAAATCTCACAAATCTCTAACCGGAAAATGTTTTTCCCTTGTCTTCCACCATTCCAAAAGATCAAAGGTGCCGTCTGGATTCTCCTTTTCAAGTCCCTGCGACAAATAAACTTGAAGCTCATTTAGATGTGAAGTCTCATCAAAATTATCACCTTGAGAACCCCTAAACTCCGTCCAAGATTTAAGTGCTTGTAGGCCCGCAGCTCTTTTAGATGATTGTGAACTAGACGAAGTAGGGGTTGGAATATTTGGCCTAGCATGATCTAACGCAAGTTGGTAAGCATTATAAATTGTTTGCGCATTTATTTTAATTGAGGCTTTTGCCTCTGCAAGTGTAGAAAATTCCTCAACTGAAAGATCTAAAGCCTTATAAATATTTGTGTACCAAAAGTGAGGACCTCCTAATTTCATTGTTGGATTTAACAATGCAGCAATACCATAAATAGGGGGGATAGGGAAAAAATATTTTTTAAACTTTTCTTTCATTGCATTTATAGGGTTAAAAACTTTTCTAATATAATGCACAAAATTAGGGTTAGAAGGAAAAGTATATGGTAAGCACATAACAGTAACCATCTTTGCTAATTCTTCACGATCTTTATTAGGATCGTAATATAAAATACCACCGGTCACAGTGTTAATTCCTGGTTGAACTAGATTTGAACCTGTACTAGGGTTAACCGCAGTATCTACACTTGTCCCCTCTTGCTGCGCTTTCATTTGTAAATATTTAACTTTATCTCTAGGGTGTGTTTGTATGTGCCTAGCCAAACTACCCGTACCACTACGGTCTCCAGTATATTTATGCGCCAGCAATTTCCCACAAGTTTTACACTTAGCCTTATTTTGTTCTCTTACTTGAGTAAAAAAATTCCAAACTATTGATGTTTCTAGGCATTTAGAAGGTTGTCTATTAAAAGTACGGGGTTTCTACAGGTGGGTCGGGCGGGGCATCAGTTGGGTTATTAACAGGACTAGTAGGTGAATCATCTAAATCCGGTTGGGTTTCATCTACATCCTCATTTTCCTCATCATTTTCTAAGATAGTTTGATTAGGATAAAGAGCATTCATAACTTCTTCATTTAATTGTTCACCTTGTGCAACATTATGGCAAAATTCACTATCGGAAAATTGAAAACAAGGGTTATCACTATCAAGAATAATAGGAGCAGCAGGACGGGTAATAGGTCTGGGTCGGGGAGCCGGGGGAAGGGTAGTAGGTTGGAGACTACTTTCACCAATTTTAGCTTTTCCCTTACCACCAAACATTTTTTTCAAAGAAAATGCCATATTAATTACAATTATGCAAACTAAACACACAAAAATATATTCTTAAAAGTTAAGAGTTGGAACGAGTTTACCGAATTGCCGAACAACTTCTTGAAAATTGAAAATCGTTGAAGACTTGAATACTTCAATTCACCAACTTCACAATTTTTCACGAAATTGCAATAATAAAATAAGCAATTATAGAAGAGAAATTAGATATAGATTGAGAGAGATTGAGATAGATTGATGAATTGGTGAGTAAAAATGAAAGAATGAGGGGGTATTTATAGTTGAGAATTGGGGAAAAGTGTAATTATATAAAGTTTGGAGGCCAAATGGCTATTTTTTAAAGTTCCAAACGGTTGAAAATTAAAGGCCAACGGCTAGATTTTAAAATCTGACCGTTGGCTATTTTTTTAAAAAAAAAATTTTTTTTTTTAAAAAATAGCCGTTGGAGCCCGTTAGGACCGTTAGGCCCGGTTGAACCGGCCCAGGACCGCCTGCCGGTCCCGGGCTTAGCAGTCCCGGTCTCGTGGGCCTCGTGTACAAGACCGGCCCGT